TCATGCCCCTGTCCTCCCAGAGGACCTCTGCCCAGTTTGCAGCTGGAGAAAGCAAGTTTCAGAGTAACAAGCACGGCCTGACACGTTTGTGTAAAGTGTCGAGAGCTCAGTACGGTCTCGTACATGGGAAAGAAATGCCTAGACAGTGCCGGCGGAATGGTGGTTCCCCAGAGAGGGCTGGGCCTGGCGCGTATCTGCTTCAGCAGGGTGCGGCTTTGAGAACGCCCAGTGTCGCTTGCAAATTTTACAGTAAGATGCATTAGAAAGGTGCATGTTTGTGTCGGGACGTGTGGTTTCTGTGTATCCTGGTGAGGTTTGTCCTGCAGGTGCAGGAATCTGGGGACAGTGAAGGGTCACTGTGGGGCCTGTGGGGCCCAGTGCTGGGGAGAAGAGGGTCGATCCAAGCCCTTTCCAGTCATACCCACCCTGTCACCTCACCACCAAATGCACCCCCGCCGACTGTCCCCTCACAAATGGTTCTCTCCGATTGTGAGGGGAAGAGGACGCCATTCTCCAGGTGACTCCAGGTGGGCTAAATGCAGACACGCTATGGGACCAGCGGATGGTACAGAAGCCACAGAGTCTGGATCCCCAAGAGTGGGGACCCTGTGGGTGGCAGTGTCACCTTAGCCTGAGCCCCCCAAAGGGACTTGTTCTATGATGGCCCCACTGGGGAGAGGGCCTCCAGGTTGGGGAAGAGAAAGAGTCTCTAAGAGATTTAAATCCTTCTCTCACTGCGGCTGTGTCGATATAGATACAGGTACATGGACACAGGTACGTAGATACAGACCCAGAGTCACAGACAGAGGCACAGATGCAGTTACAGTTACAGACACCGCTCCATAGATACAGAGAGATGCAGACACAGAGAGGACACAGGTATGTAGACACAGGCCCAGAGTCACAGACACAGATACAGACACTGCTCCATCGATACAGAGAGATACAGGGAGGACACAGATGTAGAGATGGCCGCAGAGGCACACTACAGTGTCACTGCACACATACGTGTGTGTGCATGTGTAACCCTCTCACTGTAAAATAGTGGTGTAGTCACAGTGAGTTTTCACAAACAAACACCTGTATGGCCCTGACCAGGTCAAGAAATGGCCAAACCCCGGAAGCCCCGTACAGTCACTCCCCCTCCTGCCAGAGGTCGCCGTGATCTTCAGTGTGTATCCCCCCTGTTTTTTGCAGAAATTTGGCCCCTGAGACATCCCTGTGACAAGTGTCCTAAGTAGCTTCTCGGCTGTTCTGAGCGGAGGTGTCTGGGTGGTGAAGTACCTGGTGTCCATGTGACATGTGCCTTGGCCAGGGCCTTGCCCAGGCTGCAGCCAGACATAAAAGAGGACAAGGGGCCAGAGTGAGGGGCAGGCCTGCTTCTGTTTTGTATTTTCAGGAGATGCTGCATGTGTTTCACTCGTGGCTGCTGTCTCCCCACTAATTGCCCACTGCTGCAGGGTCGGAGGTCAGCTGCACCTCCACCCATCATGCCGCAGCAAACGCCATTGTCCTACTGGGGTGGAGGGAGTATGAGCACCAGATGCCACCAGACAGGCCCAGGCTGAAGGGGAGCGAGGGAGAAGTAAGTAATCCCAGCAAAATCCCTGGAGAAATGGGAATGATGATGAATCGTAACAGCCAGTAATGTGAGGAGCTTAACCGTATTGAGACACTTCCTTCTGGGTTCTAAGTACAGAGGCTAGGAGAACCAAGGATCTGAAATCAAATCAATCACTCGTAGCGTTTTTGTGTCTGTGAAGCACTTTGCAGTAATTCCGTCTTCCATTCGGTGGCCCTGTCATGGACGTCTGTGGACAGCAGTCTGTGTGCCTCTCAGCTTCCCCGCTGAGCGGGCTGATGTGGAAAAGCACTTTTCAGCCTCCCAGCAGCGAAGGGGGGTGGTTATGAAGAGTCCCCTGGGCTGACCCGGGCTGTTGGCCATGATGAGTCCCCGGGCTCACGCGGGCTGTTGGTCATGATGGGTCCTCTGGGCTCATGCAGGGTGTTCCTTGAGTCTCCTGGGCTCACATGGGCTGTTTGAGCTCCTCCCCTGAGGCTCCCTGGGTCCCTCTCCCAGGTGGCAGGCTCCATGGTCTCTGCGTCTCCTTCCCTGGACCACTAGAACACTGCACGGTTATGTCTCTTTTCTTCCTGGCCCCAAGGACACTGCTGAGACATTCACAGGAAAAGGGAATTACGTTATTTCCCTTTTAATTGATAATTCTTGTAAACTGAAATTTAGTTAATTAATTTAATTTTTGAATTTTAACACACGTGGTTAAACATTTGAAAGAAACACTTAAGAATATACATGAAGGGGCTGGCCCCGTGGCCGAGTGGTTAAGTTTGCACTTGTGCGCTCGGCTGCGGTGGCCCAGGGTTTCGCTGGTTCAGATCCTGAGCGCAGACATGGCACCACTCATCAGCCCACGTTGAGGTGCCGTCCCATATGCCACAACTAGAAGGACCTGCAACTAAGATATACAACTGTGTACCAGGGGGGATTTGTGGAGATAAGGCAGAAAAAAAAAATGGCCACAGTTGCACAGTTGTTAGCCCAGGTGCCAATCTTTAAAAAAAAAAAAAACGAATATATATGAAGAGTCTCTTCCCACATCTCTCTCTCAATTCCGTGATTTCCCCCGAAACAGGCAACCCCTGGTGCTTGTTTCTTGTGTGTCCTGGGGCTTTATGCAGTTACAGGGAACTATAGGCGTATATTCACCCCATGCCTTTTCCACTCAGCCTACATGGCACCTCTAGCTTTGTCAGCACCTGAGACCTGCCTGGGTCCATGCTACATCCATGGAGTGGGGGCCACTGTAGCCCCCAGACCACTGCCTGTCGGTGGATTTTCAGGTGGTTTCCAATCTCTTGTTGCAAACAAGGCCTCAGCTTTTGCCAGCACATAAATTCCCAGAGTGGAGGAGGTGGGACTGGCAGCATGGCAGACAGAGGGCCTCAGGAAAGCTTCTCCCCACTGCAGGGGACCGCGGGAAGAATCCTGCAGTCCTGTGGGTGAGAAACACAGCATCTCAGAACTTGAGAAGTGACCCAAAGGTATAAAAACTGAAAGCATTTATTCAAGAAAAACTAGTGAATCTCCGTAAGGGTGGCAGGGTCAGTGGCACTCTGCTGGGCTTCTCCCTGCCCCCGCCCCTGGCTCTGGGACGCGGATGCGCCGCTGGAGGCAGGAACGGCTCCAGGCGAGTGTGCGATGCCAGCCTGACTTCAGGGAAGTCGCTCTTCCCAGACTTCCATGACCTCGACTGTCTGGGGTTGACATTCCACCCCTGAAGCAGTAACTGCACTTACATTTCCCTCCTGTCACTGTCCAGATTGAATGGAATGTCACTGCATTCTAAGACCGATAACCCATCATCTGCACTGGCCCGGCTCTCTCTTGATCTGATCGGGTTCTCGTGGCTGTCACCCAGTTTGTCAGTGAGCTGGGGGGAGGGGGGAGTCACTTGTGTGACTGAACATTCATGCTGTTGCCTTTTTCCATCTTCCTGACCTTGGGAGACGTCCATTGTTGCCCTGAGTTTACAGGTGAGAGAATGAGGGCAAGTAAGGCGGGTCTGCCTGCCAGGAGCTGTGCTGCCAGGTGATCAGTTAAGACAAGAGGCTGACCTGGAAGCAGCAGTCGAGCCTGTATCCCCTTATTACAACAGCATAAGGCTCACAGGACGAGGTCCCGCCTCCCCCAGGGCTCCATCCCGGGACCGGCCCTGGACAGATGGCTCCTGCTGACTTCCCAGGGAGAGAAGGAGGGAGAAGGGCTGAGTGTGGAGAGCTCTGAGCACTGAGGTGGAGGCCCCGGGTCAGTGGTGTCGGCAGAGCGGCTTTGGGAAGGCCTCAGCCTGGGGTCCCCATAAGGAGGCCTCGGAAGGCAGGTGCCTAGGCTGGGAATGCAGCTGTGTGCGTGGCATGTCCAGCCCGATGGGAGTGCTGGGAGGGTCCTGGGTCCCTGCCTGTAGTCTCTTCAGAGCCTGCGGTGATCTCTGTTGTGGGGAGGCCTCAGGTAAAGCCTGTGTCATTGCCTGGAGTCGAGCCTGAAAGTCCACACATAGGATTTGGGCCTGGAGCTGGACTCCTCACCAACTCTCTAAATGACCTCAGAGTTTCTCAAAAATGAGGGAAGAGGGGGGCCAGTCCAGTGGTGTAGTGATTACGTTTGCGAGCTCCACTTCCGCTGCCTGGGGTTTGCAGGCTCAGATCCTGGGCATGGACCTACACACCACTCATCAAGTCACACTGTGGCGGCATCCCACATAGAAGAAATAGAGGAAGATTGGCAACAGATGTCAGCTCAGGGCCAGTCTTCCTCACCAAAGGAAAAAAAACCAAGGGAAATGTCACTGGCCACAGCATAGCCCCTGAATCCAGCTGTGGACCCTGTAGCAGAAGGAAACCAACTGGGGGACCTTGTCAGGTTCCTGTTCAGGACCCTGGAGAGCTGCTCACAGTGGGGGACAGGTTGTGCTGGAGCCTCTGCCAGAGACCCCTCGTGCCCCTGCCCAGCCCCACAGACCCCAAGGGAAGCCTTCCAATAGGTTCCTAGCAAGGAGGGAGGGTTGGACAGAGGATGAAGAACCCTCTGCGGTGGCCTCCACGGATCGCACAGCCATCGGCCTGGGGTGAGGGTGGGAAATGAGAGCCTGGACGTGTGCCAGGGCTTCCGATAGGATTTCTTATCCTGTCATTGATCACTTTGCACGGTGGATATTGCTCTTTCTCGTCAAATGAGGAAACTGAGGTTCAGAGACTGAAGTGAGTTACCAGGGTCACACACAGTGAGAAAAAGCTGAGATGAGGTCTGACCCATGGGCTTTCTTTGATGTGCTGGGGACCAGACCCCATAGCTCTGTGTGAGCTCCTGGGGGGCAGTCTTGTGGGTGGCATGTGGGGAGTGGGTGGCTGCCAGGTGGACTCAGACTTCCTGGAAGTGCAGCTCCAGGCCTCTCATCTTCCCTCCATTGTTTCTCCTCGTGCAGGTCAACGTTGTCATCCTTGTCGCGGTGACCAGGGTCATTTCACAGATCAGCGCCGACAACTACAAGGTCCATGGAGATCCCAGCGCCTTCAAGTAAGGTGGCACAGGGGCTGTGAGCAGGGCCCCTGCCCACAGAGGGCTGCTCAGGGAGCAGGAGGGGCTGTCATCATGTACCCCACCTCTTTTGGTGTCCCAACCATCTCCCAGGGGGAGCCCTGGGCTCGCATCCTCACTTGGCTCTGTATTCACTCCCTATGACCAGGACCTGTCCTTTCTCAGCCTCAACGCCCTTGATTGTGTAAGAGGGGGTTTAATAGATGTCATCTGGGGACTGCTGACCCCCAGGGTGGGAGGCAACATGAAGCAGAGTGAAGAGGAAGATTCTAGAGCCCGACTGCCCTGCCGGGGTCAGTCCTGCCTCGGCCCCTGCCATCTGCTAGGGCCTTGCAGGTTATTTAACCCCTCAATTCCTTGTTTTCCTCATCTGTGATGTGGGGCTGAGAGCAGGACTGGCCCACAGGGCTGTCATTGGAGAACATCCCGGTGGCTCTGGGGCTGGTCCATCCACAGGAGGAGCAGGTGTTTCTGGGCAGGGACTCCTCCCACACAGCGGCTGTCCTCTGGGGTTTCCTGACCCCATATCAGTTAGGGCTCTGCTGAGCGCAAGGGACAGGAAACCCAACACAAACTGGCTAAAGCAAAGGGGGACTTACTGACACGGGTCACTGAAAAGTTCAGACCCTATTTGACAATAAAATCACCAGGACCCAATTCCTCTTTGCATCTCTCAGCTCCGCATCCTCTGTGTCGGCTTCAAGCTGATGCTGTCTCCTGGTGACACGGGGACGAACCTCTACCCAACGTGTTCAGACAGAGGTCCTGAGTCCAGGGCTGAGACACAGGCTGGGCCACCCTGAACCAGTCACAGAGGAATGGAAGTCACCAGTTAACCTGGACCTGAGTCACACGGTCCACTCTGCCTGTGGGGTGCAGTCAGCACCCCCAAACCACAGGGCCAGGAAGTGAGTGGGAGCCGGCTCCTCACAGGGAATTTCGCTCGGTTATGTAAAACAGGCCATGGACTCTGGGGAGTGGGGATTCTGTAAGTTACTTTAGTTACACTATATCATTTCTGATCTGAAAGGGAAAACAGTAAATATGCCAGCAGCTGATCGATAAGACAGTTATTCTGTAATGAATTCCAAACACTGTAAATTAAACTGACAAGAGGTTCCGGCCCTCCTGGGCTCTTTGGGGCTCTGGAAACCGTGGAGGGCTGTGCCCTGGGGGAGAAGAGATGCTCAGGGTCAGGGATCACTTCCTTTCCTCTTCCATCAGTGGGAACAGGCAGTGCTGTCCTGTGAGGCTGGCCCGTCTCCGTCATCCCTCCCTCCACCCTCAGCTCCCCAAGGCCCCCCTGGGCTCAGGGCCGCCAGTCTGTCTCCAGCCCTTCTCTACTCCCCTGCAGCCTGGCACCAGCGAGACCACTGCTCTCTGGTCCCCAAACATCCGGGTGCTCACCCCACCCCTGTGCTCTCCTCATTCCTCAGCCCCCAGGAAGCAGCCTTCCTCCACCACCTTGTCTCTCATCTTCTGAGGGAAAGGCTGACAGGGGGGAGGTAGGGACCATGCATTGGGAGCGCATTTCCGAGTCTCTGCAGAACCACAGCTGGTGGCACTGCCCACGGTGCCCTCCCGGGTGCTGCACGTGACAGCAGGGAGTGACCTTCCTGGGGGAGTTCAGGCCGCATCTCTCTGGACAGACACCCTGACTCCGTCACAGAACCCAGCAACCCCTACCCTGCAGCTCCTGCTCTTTAAGTGGCCGAGCCTGACCCCCAGGACACTCCTCGCTCTCCTCTTGGTGTCATTTGTGTAACCCTCGCCTGCCTGGGCTGGTGCTGCCGACCCAGGAGCTCCGGGAGCCAGGGAGGAGGACAGCATTACAGCGTCCTCGGAAAACTTCTGTGGCTCCTTTTTCTCCTCATCTCTTGGTTTCAGTCTAATCGTTCTTTGGGGGCTCAGCAGCTTGGGGTTCAGGGTGAGCCCACGAGGCTAGTGCAGCTGTCCCTGTGCTGGGTGACTCTCCCACCCCACTGGGCTCCTCAGCTCTGCTCTCCTCTCTGGGCACTTGGGATTGGCGTGTCCATCCAGCATCACTACCGGCTGGGTGGGGTGGTGAGCCTGAGTGTGTGCAGAGGGCTTGCTGGCTCCTGGGTGCCCTGTGCCGGCCACAGCAGAGCAGAAGCAGCACCATTGACTTGTCCCAGAGCCAGCCCGGTGGCGACCCTGTCTCATACATCCCAGGTGTTAACTTCTCACCCGAGGTCACCTGCAGTGGGGAGCCCTGACTCGCTCCCAGCAGGGCCTATGTCTGCTCCCATCAGAAGCCTCGCATCCAGAGCCCGGGTCTCTGGACCCACCCTTGTCCTCCCTCCACCCAGAGTGGCCATCCGCATGTCTCTTTCAGGTTGACAGCAAAAGCTGTGGCCGTGCTGCTGCCCATCCTGGGGACCTCGTGGGTCTTTGGCGTGCTTGCTGTCAACCAGCAGGCCGTGGCCTTCCAGTACGTGTTTGCCATTCTCAACTCCTTCCAGGTGAGAGCCATGGCGCTGGCACGTGGGCGAGTTGTGAGGTGGGCTGTGAGCTTGTGAGTGGATGTGCAAGGAGCAGATTGACACACAAGGGCTGGAGGGAGACCCCCCTCTCTGTTACCAGCACACACCTGGTGAGCCCATAGCATGGGGGTGTCGCCAAGGCCCGAGGACAGAGGCATGGATCCATGGATCCAGCCACACCAGGTCTCTGGGCAGACAGGGCCTCAGGATGGTGACCCCGTTCACAGCAGGGCTGCCTCGTCCTCCTGGCCTGTGTCTGCAGGAGGCACGTCCAGGCCTGAGAGGGAAGGTGGTCAGTATGTGGGCAGCTCCTGAGGGTGCCGGGTGTGGAGAGGTGGTGATGGGGGTGCCTGAGGTTCTGAGCTGGTGTATGCCCTCTGTGGGGAGGGGCCCAGAAGGGTTGCCAGCCTGGAAACCGGAGATGTGAGGTGCCCAGAGTCTGGGTCCCCAGACCCACAAGCCCCCCAAAGGGAGGGCAGAGGTGGGTACCCATCACTGTAGACAGCCCACATAGCCAAGCCTAAGGCTGAATCCTGGCAAATGTCACCACAGCCCACCCCAGCCCTGCCGTGCTGTCCTTGCTGCCTGTGGGTCTTCGTGACGGGGGACCGGGTCTTACAGGGTGGGCCAGGCTTCTGGTTTGTCAAAAGCTTCTGCACAGTTTCCCTCTGGTGGTTTATCGTGAGGTGTGGTAGTTGTCCTGGCTGCAGCCCTCACACGCTGCACACCCTGGGGCTCCTCGTTTGTTCTGTGTCCCAGTTTCCTCGTCCATAACGTGGGAGCAGTCACAGGCCCCACTTCACGGGGCTACTTTTAGCACTAAATGAGATAACTCATGCGAAGTTTGCCTAGTGCCTGGCGCATGTTTGGCGACATCCTCATTCTCGTGTCTCTTATTGTTGTCCTCATTCTCAGTCTGCAGATGAGGACACCACGGCTCAAATTAGGTGACAGGCTAGTGTCCTCCCCTCTGTCCATCCCCAGCACTTTGCTCCTCTCCTGGGTTAGCCGGCTGGGAGCCCACTTGTCTTTGTATGTTTTCCCGCAGCCCCGCCACCTCCGCACCCTGGCAGCAGTGGCTGCCTGCATGTAGTCGGACTAGAGGGGGGGTTGCCGGACACCTCTCCGTCCTCATCCTCAGCTCACTCGCAAGCTCCCTGGCAGTGCACCACACCGTCCACTCTCAGAGCCCATGTGTGGCGTTGGAGAGGACCCTTAGAAAGTTTGTGTCACGAAATGCAAGTGGCTCTAATTCTGTGTTTTCCTCCCCTTCCTTCCCAGGGATTTTTCATCTTCCTCTTCCATTGTCTCCTGAATTCTGAGGTACGGCTGCTCTCCTTCCTGACCACACGAAGCTGGTTTTCCATTTCTGAAAGGGCAGAAACAGGAGCGGTGCTGCCCTGTCAGGCTGGTGTCAGGAGCGTGGCCCCAGATAAGCCTTGGTACTGGGGACAAGCTGCGCCCGGGGGGGATGCTCCCCTGCAGCCCTTTCTCACTCTTCCTGGTTGTTAGGCAACCTCCAAGCATCTTCCCTCTCTGATGTCTTGTGGGCACTGCTGTCTGCGCAGAGGACAAGGAGAGATGGAGAGCAGGACCTTTCTGGTGTCTGGCATGTTAGGGAGAGTAAGATGTGGGTGTGCTCCCAGCGGTCCCCCCAGAGGGCTTAGGGAATCCATCTTGCACTATAAGAAAGATCTCCTGCTGCAGGGGTTGCAGAGGGGACTATTGTAACTTGGCCCTCCGGGGCACCGGGGCAGCTGGGGCCGGCTTGTTCCCCTCCGTGCAGCCTGGGGCGATGTACCTGCCATGTGCTTGACCATGGGGAGGGTGGAGGCTGCTCTGGACACAGCCCTGCCCCTCAGCACCTGCCGTCCTGTGGGAGGAAGTGCTCCCTGGAGTTGGGGGTTGACGTTTGAGCCCTGCCAGGCTGCGGTTGAGGGGAAATGCCTCCACAGTAGAGATGGGAACAGGCAGGAGCTTTTGATTAGAGCCGTCCCTTTGCACAAGGAGAGGTAGGCAGGGAGGAAGGAGGTGGGGTGGCCAGGGGAGGAGGGGTCACATGATGGCAAAGACCCCGGAGCAGCCCAGGCAGGGCCCGAGCCTGATGTCCACGGTGGAGAGGGGATGGGCCTCAGCCCGCGCGTGGCCTGCCCCACCTGTGCGTTAGTTGGTTTACTCCTCCATATTGGCCCCGCCGCTGTCACACACTCTCCCTCTGCACCCTTCACTGCCGACTGTGTCCCGTCTCCCATCCAGAACTGTGGGGAAGCCAACAAAGCCCATCCTCCAGATCCCTCTCTCTCCCCAGCCGGGGCCGGGACGGTGGCGGGGACGCAGTCTGTCTGCCAAATGAATCATGACCCTGTTTGAATCTGATGTGTCCAAATCTTGTCCTTGCCCTGCGCCCAGTGTTCTGGGGCCTTCTATCAGCACAGATTCCTAGACACCTTTTAGAATGACCTCTGATTGTTAACATTTCAACCTCTGAAATTGCTTCTAATGAGCCCTCTGTTCTGCCTCCGAAGGTGAGAGCTGCCTTCAAGCACAAAACCAAGGTCTGGTCCCTCACGAGCAGCTCCTCCCGCAGCGCCAACGTGAAGCCCTTCAGCTCTGACATCGTGAGTGTGGTGTGCTGTCTAGGTTCCCCTGTCTGCGCCGGCTGATCCTGTTCTGAATGCCTTGCATCCTTGGCCCGAGCGCTCGAGCGCTCGGGGTCTCTGTTGTCAGTTGTTACCTGGAGAGCCAGCCCTCGTCAGCCCATGGCCGTGGAGTTGCCTTCCGGCCTTGCTGAGCGGCCCGCAGCCTCTGCCTCAGCAAGGACGTGGTGCCCGCGGTGCTGGGGCCCGGTCTCTGAACCCCGAGCCTTGGCCCCCCCTTCCTCCCCAAGCTGCAGCCCCTGCAGCTCAGTGTCGTGCAGGCAGCTGCCCAGCTTGGGTGGGGAAGGCGAGGCTGCATGCTGGCTTCCTGTCCAGCCCTTTCATGCCTGATGGAGGCTACAGGCTGTCTGCCCAGCAGGGTCCTCTGTCCTGATAAAATCCACAGCCCTCTCTCCTGCCCCGTTTCCAGGGGCAACACTTCTTTGTTGACTTAGGGAGACGGAAGGACATACAGATCAGTTGACAGCGAGGCAGACGCTGGACCTGCTGATGGGTCCCATGGAGGCACAGTCACCAGGCCCAGCCCTGCCTCCAACTTGTCCTCCATGCCGGGTCTCCTTCTATGGGCACCTGAGAAATCGGGTCTCCACGCTCCGTGCTTGGGGTCTAAACAGGCCTGTCGTCTTAGTGCCCGACTTGATTCACCTTCCTCCTGTGGGGCGTGGTCATCAGTCTGTCCCTCAGACCCCCAAGCAGGCCCCCAGCAGCCTGGCGCAGACGGTGCCTGTGCTCTCCCCGCACCGCTGCCTCCTCCCATCATTTAGGTCCTCACGCAGATGTTGCATCCTCAGGAAGTCCTTCCTGGACAGCAGTTCTCCGTGTCCCCCTGGACCCTGCCACTTCAGAGTCATGCTCCTGCCACTCTCTGCAGTGACCACTGTCTGCCGTCCCCCTGGGATGGAAACACTGTTTCCATCACAGGGACAAGAGGGCCCTGGGGCCAAGGAGCTGTTGGCTTTGTTCACTGCATGAGCCTGCGTGACCAGTACCCAGTGCACAGTGTGCTCAGTGACAGGCGTGGAGGGAATGTGGGAATGTGCAGAGTGACAGGTGAACGAGTGAGTGGATGGATGAATAGAAGGATAGATGGATGAATGAGTGAGTGCCCAGAGCCTGGAAGAGACGGTGGAGGGGGCTCAGCGCAGAGCAGGGGAGGGCAGTGCCTGCTCGGGTCCAGGATCCTCGTTTCTCAGGGGAGTGTCCCCACACAGCTTTCTGGGCCCATGCTTTCCGCACCCATGTAGGGTTTGGGACTCTGATCTCGGGGCGGGGTCCTCACTGCTCTGTGGTTGCAGATGAACGGGACCCGGCCAGGCACGGCCTCCACCAAGCTCAGCCCCTGGGACAAGAGCAGCCAGTCCACCCACCGTGTGGACCTGTCCGCCGTGTGAGCAGAGAGCCGCTGACCCGCCTGCCCTCGGAACACCCCCACCCCACAAACAAAACACAAGGAGCAATCTGCCTTCCCCAGTGGGACCCTCTCCTCATGGCTGTCTGGACATGGGTGTCCCGACCCCCCGCCAGCGTCCTCGCCTGTGACCCTCCCTGTGTGACAGTGCCCACTGCTCAGCCTGCAGCCTGACACACAGCGATGGGCAGACCTCCTGGCTTGAGTCCTCCTGTGGGCTGAGTGCCTGCCCTCCAGGCACCCTGAATGCTCAGTGGCCCCTGTGATGTGCACTTGAGCCTCCCTTCATCCTGCACTTGCAGAGCCTCAGACTCACGACACCTGAGCTCACGGGCCCCGGGGCTGCAGCTCAGCCTCTGCACCACACTGGGGCCTCAGGACCAAAGAGGCGGGCCCTGCAGGGGAGGTCACGGTCCTCTGCACCCTGCAGGGTCAGCAGAGGCAGATGGGGGCGCGTGGGGAAGAGCTGGGGCATGTTTTCAACCTGCTGACTTCACCGAACAACAAGTCCCCGGCAACCAGGCGCCAGCTGCTGTGCGGGTCTCTGCACAGGGTGAGGCCACGTGGCCAACCCCGCGGTCTGGTTCTGTGGTCTCTGTGGTGCCTCCGTGATGCTGGGCTGCAGACACTGGCTGCTCTGGCCCTGTGGTGGCGGATGCCTCGCCCAGGAGGAGAGGTGGTGGGGCCACATGCAGCAGCTGGGCCTGGAGGCCACCTGACGGTGCCACTGCCTGGGGGGGCCTCGTGGCCGGTCCTCAAGTCTTGACTCCTCAGACTCAGTTGGCCTTCAGACACCCCCTTTTCTGGCACCTGAGCCTCCTCCTGTGTTCCCAGCAGCCCCGGAGCTGACTGCCGCCCGCAGCTGGGTTTCCCTGCCCAGACGTCTCAGTGCCCGAGGCCTGACTTCCCCCAGAGTCCTTTCCTCGTCACCTGCAGCCTCTGCTGGGTTTCTGACAAGCGGATCACAGGGATGGGCGCCAGCACGGCAGCTCATGTCGCCGCAGAGGGCCCGGCCTCTGACCACACTGAACGGAGGCTGCCTGCGTCCCGTGTGGCCAACAGCCCTGAGGGAGGGATGGGACTCACGTCCTGCCTGACGGGGAAGCCTGGCAATGGCTGTGTCTTCTGAGCTAATTTATGGACTCGGACTCAGCCCTTAGGAAATGGATTCACTGTTTCGGCTCCACGTCTGGCAGGATCCTGTGGAACACAAGGTTTGTGATCGTGGATGTGAGCTGAACGCCGTGGAAATTTGGGAAACAGGCCGAGAGAGATCGTACTGTGATGGTGTGATGTGAGATGTGTGGGTCAACTCAAACCTGTTTTTGATACTGGAAAATCCTCCTTTAACACTGTGACCACGTAGCATTAAGCACCCCCGCCCCCTCCACGCACCTGCTGTTTCAGAGAGTTGTTTGCCTAGCTCTGTGGGCCTTTTGCTTCTTCATCGGGTACCTGCTTAATGCAACCCACCCCCGATGGCAATGAGTGTAATGGTCACCACAGGCGACCCCCACTGTGGGGAGGGGTCCGACCGAGCAGCATGCCCAGGGGATCACCTTGTTCCTCCACCGAGGCGAGGTCCCAAGTGCACCGGGCGACTCAGCACGGGTGACGAGGCCGTTTGCCTGCCGTGCGGCCCCCGGACGTGCTGTGGGGTAAACTGGCTGATGTGAGCGGAGACCACTGCCCAGACCCTGCGTAGTGGACAGTGCGTGTGTGCCCAGCCTGCCCAGGCTTGTCCTTGTGATCCCAGAAATCAGACCACTCGTCACACAGCCCAGACCCTTGTCCTGCCCACGAGCTGGTAGAAGTGAGAACACTGTATCCCTAACAGTTACACTTGGATGTTTTTCTTATTTAGTTTCTGGTGAAGCAAATCGAGGAAGGAACTATCTTTAGTTTAGACGGAATTCTTCCTCTTTAACTCTCAGCATACTCACGGTAATAGCTGATACATCACAGGAAGTGAGGGACGAACTCTGTATTTCTTGTGAATGCCCGTCGCGCACTTTATTTATGGGCTGTGTATTTTGGCTTCTGCAGTACTTGATTATTGACACAAAATTGCCCAAAGATGAGAAATTGGAAAGGATTGTGTGTTTAAAGGAGTTTCTGGCCCAGGAGAGATGATGAATGCCACTAAGTAGTGAAAATTGTTGAGATTTTTATGAAATAAAATCTTAATGTCCTTAAAATAAAGTGTAGTCTTTAAAGTCTTCTGCTAGTGGGAGGCAAGCAGGACCACGAGTCTCCTGATCAAACCTAAAGAATTCCTGAAGGAATCCCAGCCTGGATTCCTCCACACACATTTACTGGTGCCTGCTCTGCTCCCAGCACGGTCTCGCCTGGGGACACCTGGTGGACGAGCCCCACCCTGGCAGGAGCCTCCCTCTTGGGGCTGGGGGTGGGGGCCTGGGCCCGCAGGCATGTGGAGAAGGGACAGGAAGAGGATTTGTCTACATCTGTCTACACTGAAGCTTGTTCCCAGGAGGTGACAGGAGGTTCACTCACACGCCCTGCCCCAGCTGTATTCGTTCATTTGCTCCTGCATCCTGTACACGGGCGGCCATGACTGACGTGCTCCTACCCCATCCCTGCTGTGCAGCCGTCTGCTGGGAAACCTAGTGCACGCGCCTAAGCCATTTCCGTGTTGCATCTATTGCTCATAATTGTAACTATAATGTGTATACGTAAAACATGCAGTTACGTGTATTTTACTGAAACCTTCCACAATTTTGCAATTAGATGATTTCTATGCTTCTGTGTTATATACAGCATATATAATATATATTTTATTGATATACATACTGTATACATATTTTAATATTTTATATCTATACTATTGTCAACACAAATAACAACAATCTACAGATAAGAAAGATATTTAATGAGCTAATTTGAGGACTAGCCTGGAAGCGCGCCCTCCCCCAGGGAAGAAAGCGGTCTGGAGAAGTGTGGTCAACAGTACGGTTATACACCATTTCAGAGCAGAGAACATAGAGCAAGCGTGACGGGAATGCACCTGTTTCCCAAAGTCGAGGGAGAGGCTTTGCAGCAGTTTAGCACATGCACAGCAGGTCAGCTTGACCTTGGTTCTCTGGGAAGAAAAGCTAATCTTCAAAGAGGCACTGGTATCCGCGTCAGAGAAAGGAAGCTATTCATCCTTATCTTTAAAGCGTGCACTCCGCGCTCTGGGAGAACGTTTGAAGCACATGTACGATGCACGGTCTGGGGGCCGTAAGTCAGGCTGCTGCGGGAAAAACAAGTTCCAGGCCGAATCAGATTTAAACCAGAATCGCTTCCCCATATACCTCAATATGTGAAAACTTCTTATTCTTATTTTCATCTCTATCAATCACCTATCTGTCTATCTGTCTGTCTGTCTATCTATCTATCTAATCTGGGCTCTATCCAATATGGGATGATCAATCAATAGGTATTGATGTCTTTTTTGTCTTCCTGCTTTTGGCTTTTTTGCTTGCATTGATTATTTTCCCAGTTAAAATTTGAAAACTGGGTTTCTGCATCTAGAAAGTGTAAATAATTCCATGACTGTTGAAACATTTTGCCAAATTGCTGCCAAAATGGCTACTGGGTCCATTCCCACTGCCAGTGAGAACTCACTGATAGTCTTGCTTTTCAAAAATTTTACCAGCAAAGAGTGTTATTAGTATTTTTATTACCTATTTAATATATGTGAAACTGTCATAATTTGCACTTCTTTGATCGGTACTGAGATTGAGCGGTTTTTCATACGCATCTTTACTTTTTCTCTTCTTTCTCTCAGAAGGGGGCTGAAAATTCTGAATAGATAGGGGAAGCATTTATTTACGGCGTTTTCTCACTTCCTGCGCTTTGAGTTCGTCTCACGCACGTTCCCCTCGGTTGATGAGGAACGGACTTCGGTGAGTCAGGAGGCTGTCCTCCCGAGCCCGCAGTGACGGGCCGGGACCCCCTTCCCACAGACCGCTAGCACAGCCTGCGCGTCATCACTGCTGCGGTTGCTCTGTGGAAAAGCCTCGGTCACTCCCAGGTGTCCGGTGTGACTTGGAGAGCTCGGTCAGCCCCTGGGCCCTGGATCCTGCTCACTCCTGCGATGTCAGAGGAGGTGGGGTGCAGGGCTGTCCCTCTTCCGTCATCTACGAGGCCTGAGCCTGGTTGTGGGGCCAGGACCTGGGGGCCACTGACAGGCCACTCCACGGTGGATCCCCAGATGCCTGCCTGGTCCCCGCTGCCTCCTGTCAGAGCCCCAGCTGCAGCCCCACCTGTCAGGGAGTCTTCTAGTGCCTTCTTTCCTGCAGAGAGTCCTCAGAACTTGGGGTCCACACGTGGAGGTCATTCTTTTTCTGGGCTTGATTAGGCCTCTTAAATATTTCTCACCATGTTCAGGGAGTTTGGGTGTGAGCGCTGGGCTGAGGGGAGATAGAGCTGGTGTTCAGTTCATGTCGTTGGCCAGTTCTCTACTTTCTTTTTTTAAAATTTTATTTATTTATTTTTATTAAGGTATAATTGACTCACAGCATTATAGTAGTTTTAGGTGTACAACATAGTGATCCGATATTTGTATATATTGCCAAGTGGTCACCCAAATGTCTGGTTAACATCCATCGCCACGTATAGTTACAGAATTTATTTTCTTGTGATACTTACTTATTTTATAACTGGGAGTTGGTACCTTTTCACCCCCTTCACCCTTTTCACCCCCCCCACCCCAGCCCCGCCTCTGGCGACCGCCACTCTGCTGTCTGTTCCTGAGTTTGGCCTTTTTAGATTCTTCATACAAGTGAGATCATACAGTATTTGTCTTTCTCTGCCTGACTTATTTCACGTAGCATAATTCTCTCGAGGTTCATCCATATTGTCTGAAATGGCGGGCTTTCCTTCTTTCTCACGGCTAAATAATATCCCATTGTAGAGTGTACATGTATCTGCTGTGTGTATTTACCACCTTTTCTTCATCCATTCATTCACCAATGCAGATTTTGTATCCTGCAACTTTGCTGAATTCCTTTATTAGTTCTAACAGTTTTTTGGTGGAATCTTTAGGGTTTTCTCCATACAAGATCATGGCATCTGCAAATAGAGATAATTTCACTTCTTCCTTTCTGATTTGAATGCCTTTTCTTGCCTGATTGTTCTTGCTAGGACTTCCAGTACCATGTTGAATAGGAGTGGTGAGAGTGGGCATCCTTGTCTTGTTCTTGATCTTGGAGGAAAAGCTTTCAGTTTTCCTCCATTGAGTATGATGTTAGCTGTGGGCTTGTCATATATGACCTTTATTATATTGAGAGGTTTTTTTTTAAATCACGAGAGGATATTGAATTTTGTGAAATGTTTTTTCTGCATCTACTGAGACGATCATATGGTTTTGTCTTTCATTCTGTTAACGTGGTGCATCACATTGACTGATTTGCAGATGTTGAACCATCCGTGCATCCCAGGAATGAATCCCACTTCATCGTGGTGTATGATCCTTTTAATGTGTTGTTGGAGGCGGTTTGCTAGTATTTTGTTGAGGATTTTTGCATCTGTGTTCATCAGGCGTATTGGCCTGTAGTTTTCTTTTCCTGTGGTGTCCTTGTCTGGCTCTGGTGTCGGGGTAATGCTAGTTTGTAAGGTGAGTTTGGGAGGGTTCCCTCCTTTTCAGTGTGTTAGAAGAGTTTGAAGGATTGGTGTCAGTTTTTTTTTATGTTTGATAAAACTCACCAGTGAGCCATGTGATCCTGATTTGGTCCCATTACTCTCTGTTGGTCTCTTCAGATTTTCTGTCCCTTCATGATTCAGTCTTGGCAGGTTGTATGTTTCTAGGAATGTATGCATTTCCTCCAGGTTTTCCAATTTGTTGTCATGTAATTATATGACATACTCTCTTAAGATTCTAGTCTTTCCGTGGTGTCAGTGGTAGTGTCTCCTCTTTCATTTCTGATTATTTCCTTGACTCCTTTATCTTTGTGTGTGAATGCCTTCTCTCAGGCCTGCTCAGGATTCCGAGGCTTCCTCAGGCCTTTCTATGGGTGCACCTGCTCCACACTTCCTCTTCCGTGTTGTGGCAGAATCCTTAAGCTCATCCACCTTCCCTGGATCCTGCAAAGCAGTGGACCGAGTACAGACAGCCTCCCCCAGCTTTCCCAAGGTGGTGCCTATCGCTCGGATGTATGTGGTTTCTCCTACGCCTGGAGTCGGCCAGCTTTGTGCATATGCTCACTGGTCATCTTTCAAGGCTCGCTCCCACTGCCCTCAGGAGCGCACACAGGGGACTGGCCACGGGGAGGGGAGGCTGTGTGTGTGTGGGTGAGATGCACAGAGTCTTGGGGGCTCCTGTGGGCCAGTTTGCAAGATCATGGTCCAGCTTCCTGATGGAGTCTGCACCCCAGTTAGTAGGATCTGTGACCTTGTGTTGTCCTCAGAGAGCCCTGGCTGCTATTCTCCCAGCTGCTCCCGCACTGGTCATGCAGCACCCTCAGTATCCTGGACGGGACGAGAAAGATCTCAGTCTCTGGCAGCATCCACCCCACTGGGGAAGCCAGGCGAGCCTCACATGCTCTCACTTTGCCCCATGGGAGGAACCTCAGGCCGGGAAGGTCTCTCCTGGCCCTGAGCTGTGCCTCTCTGGGGAAGGTGAGACTGGCCTCTCACCCTTCTCAGTGCACCCAACTTCAGGTTGTTTTGCTCCCACGGTGTGTTGGAGCTTCTCTGCTGGACTCCTGCACAGGCCCTCTCATCCAGAGCTCATTGTCTACATTGGTGTCTTTGGAGGGAAGACGGTAGAAACCTCAGTCAGCCATGATGATGATGTCACTCCAGAGCAAATGTCTCACTTTCGGGAAATTCAGTGTATTTCTTCTGTTGTCAGTCATACTGTTGGTGTCATGTCTAAGAAATCTGCAATGAATTCTACATTGAAAAGATTTCCCCATATATTTTCTTCTAAAGATGTTATAGTTTTAGCTTTAAATTTAAATATATGATCCTTTTAAAATTAAATTTTGTATAATGTTTCAGGTTTAAGTCAAGACTCATTCTTTTTGCCTGTGGCTGTTCTTATGGATGTCCCCATTGCCTCAGCCACATTTATTGAGGGGCTATCCTTTCACTGTTGAATTGTGGTGGCTCCTTCGTCAAAGTTCAGTTGACTGTATTTGCAGGTTCTCATTCTGGGATCTGTCCTGTTCCAGTGATCTACATGTCTGTTTTT